AAAATCTACAGGCCGGCCATTCACCTTTATTTGGATTTTGCTTAAAAAAGATTTAGGAAATTCTCAGGAGTTTAAGCATTTACAAAGCGTTTGTCGCAGAAACCCGTCTCAACCCAATAAGAATGAGGAAAATTGATGTTGTCCATGATTGTAGAAAATGAGCTCTATTCATTATCCAAATGTGATTGATATACGTAGAGAATTTGTGAATTTTCAGGCGTAAAGTGCAAAGATCAGCACTGTAATGTTTAACAGAACACATTCGACGGGATTCAAGGAAATGAAGACGAGAAATCCAGACCCCCTATTTTTTCTACAGGACTTACTTCATTATGCGTTTCTGCATACTTATGCAAGCATAAGAACACAGGCTGTGACGACCCACTGCGTGTGTGTGTGCATGTATGTGGCTCTCTTTTTGTTTTTCATCTTGCAGCTAGGGAAATTATGATACTGAATTCAACCAGTGGGTCACCTGCCCATTTATATTCATATTAATTTTCAAGCGCATCTGAGCCTTATAGAATGTGAAAATTTTGATGGGCAAATTGCTCCCGAGAATCAGTAAAGGAGAAAGCTGAAATTTTAAGATTTTTCCTTCACGATCTAAAGACCTAAAGTTCAGTTTTCAAATATGTTTGGTTGATAAATACAGGCATGCAAAATTTTTGTGCGATTTTGTCATTCTTCCCTCTCCACATCTTGCTCAATGAACAATTTGCTTTTTCATTAACGATCGGTAACAGCTAACTTTTCGTTCTCCTTCATGCGAAATTTGGTATAATCTTACGAGGAGGTTAAGGTTTCTCGCGGGTTCAAGAGACTGCACTGTAATCGGGAACAGAATATTTCTGACGACTGCACTGTAATCGGGAACAGAGTATTTCTTAAGAGTAGAATGTTTGTTTAATCAGCTGAAAATCGAAGGTAACGGATGAAATAGCGTTGCCACCAATGCTGAATTTTGGAACTTCGCTCACGCCGAGGAATTCGCAATGCAGTCCAGTGCATTGTTCACAGAGTATGGAGGCTCGAAGGTAAAACGAAATCGAGCATTTCCGTAATAAGCTCCAAACCATGCGGCACATCCTTCTGAAATCATTGGTCGTTTGTTTGGTAATCAATTAATCAAATAGCAAAAGGATTTCCACTCCTGTATTTCTAGCAAATAAGTAAGGACCCTGCGAATGCCACTTGTTCTGTTTTCGGGTATCCTCACATCTGAGCGCGAAATTTTGGAATTCGTCACGCTTCCTCTCTTTTAAAGTGCAATGGGATGTAATGGCACAGCTGCAAGACCACAATAAAATGCTCTAAATCTGGAATGCAAACATATCCAGGATTATTTCCGGGCGATTGAGGGGAAGTAGAGAAACGATTGCCAGAATCACTAGCAGGTTGACGGCCAATTGATGCAGTTTCGGTCACAGCGGTCACGTTCTGCCAACTGTATAATGATGCTATGTCAACTAATGAAAATAAACACATAAAGTTGCTACCGAATTTATAACACGAACTTGAAATGCCTGATCTGCGCCACTCATCCATCGGAACCACTTTGCCACACTTTCTACAGCCTGCAAATTCCTGGCTCCGTATCAACACTGATTATTCGGCAACTCTGTTAATTACTTCTCAACTCTAAATTTCAGACTTGAGTTCCTGACTGAACAAAACGTTACATGCGTCTTGCCAGTTCAGTCCCCAAAATCCTTCAATTAGTGCCAGAGGAGCTTCGCTACAGGAATGTCCCAAGAACGCTGCTTTTTGTATTCTCAGCGTGCTTGGAGGTGCTTAGCATTCGCACAGTCTCTTCTGTCACTTCCCGGACCATAAGCGCGC